TTTTTTCTCAAAAAAAAAATGGTATGAAATCAAGATTAATACAAAGAGAACTTGACGTGTTTTATATTAGACTTGCAAAAGATTTTTCCTTTCCCTTAACTTTTTATTCATTTATTTATTTTTAAATGTCCCTAACCTTGTATTCACACAGGAACTATGCCAACTTAAAAAGAGTCTTCTTAGAAGCCCCAGTCAGTGCCAGGCTGAATATGACTCATCTCAATAAATCACTGGAGGCTTCAGCAGCACTAGTAATAACAGCTCAATCCCTCATCCGTCATTGACAGCAGTCTGGACTTCAGTGTGCATCAGAGCTCATTCAGAGGCTGGATTCCTCTTCCCTGGTGAATGTGCTTGACTTAAAGAGGAGTATTTTAATGGCTATTGTGTTGTTGCAGTGTGCAGTTTCTCTCTCTGTCTAATGATGCTTGAGCTATTTCTGTTGTTACTACGACAACCATCTTCCACTGAGAGCCACTGGTCCTGTGGGAAGCGGCTCTCACTGTGCTAATAAATGAAGTTTACTGCTCGTTTTTGATTCAATCACTCTCTTTTGTGCTTTAAATGTAATTGTGTCTTTATTAGAGTTGCACTGCTTTCTAGTTTCTAATCTAATAAAGAGCAGTTTTACTTTTTTCCTATAAATTTTACCTCCTAGTTGATTAAAACACCACTATGAATCATGTGGATTTATGTTTGATTATCTGAAATGTGTTTGTTTTGAATTCCACAGAAAACTTGAATTGGATTTCTTATCGAATTTCTAATCTTATTTCGCCACCTACTGGAGACTTTTAGCACTGCCAGCTGTCAATTTTCAACTAGTTTTCCTTTGAGTGAAGGAATACGATTCTCTCTCTCTCTGTTTTAAGACTTAGCGTATCAATTTTTGGACTTAATAAATGATCATATGTGTATATCCTTCTGTTTCACAATCAGAATCAAGGAAAACTTCATTTATATCGTTTGCTCTTTTCTGTTTAATTTGAGTGATATTGTTCACATTGTGTGTTTAAAGGGCTGGTTCTGGAGTAAATGCATTTGTCACACGTTTAAGTACAATTTTTATATTGTAATTAATTTTAAAAAATCCATTAATGGCTACTGTGTGGGGAAAAATTCATTAAATATAATATCATTAAGACAACCAAATCAAAGATTTGTTTCCAAAATGAAATATTTGACTTTTACGTTGTAATCGTACTAAAACAAATTGTTAAAATATTTTCTGGAAATTTAATTAGGTTGACAACGTAAATGAGAGTAACACAAATATAATAAAAATAATAATAATAAATTCTATTTAAAATGATTACATTTGAGCATTATTTCTGACTAGTCTTTAGAAAGCAGAATGAAATAATTATATTTTGTGAATGTTTAACATATGTTAAGTGCACACATTAACTTTGACAGTTTTTGTAAATAAGTGAACAAAAACCTCTCAGTACTTTCACGGACCCAGTTTGAAAACCCCTGGCCTGATCGACCGCCTGAGTAATTCCCACCGGTTACAACTGTGACCAAGAACAAAACTTTTCACACACTTAAGAAAGTTAAAATCTCAAGATTTTACGAGATGCCGATGATAGGGCAATCTCGTGGTTCGACCCATAGACATAATAAATACTTATTTATTATGTCTATGGTTCGAACGACTCTTCATTCCTTGGAGGTTGTTGAGGGAAAGTCCGCAGATGGCGCTCTTCACCTAACGCTACCATCGCACTTTTGTTTTTGTGGTTCGTCACTTCCGGGTGTGAGATGGCGTGACAGCAGTGGGTAAAGTGAGAAAACCCTGCTGTGTCGGTAAGATATTACATTTATATGGGTTTAAAACCTTTTATGTGTTCAATATGAATGAACATAGTTTGTCTCCATACGCACTGCGTCCGCTGGTGTCTGATCGGCCGAACGAGAGTCGAATCTCTCGATCAGATTCAGATTGAATTCAGAAGCTGTTAGTCTCAGTAAGACTAGAGCCCGACAGAGAGATTGAATATTAATGTAATAACATTTTGATTATTGCTGAGTTTGATTTACACAAAATGTGAATTTCTTAAATTTGCTACAAGTTTTGTGGCATTTAAACATGATCTGAAAATTATTTAAATCCTTAAAAAGGAATGCCTTAAAAGTAAATTACTTACCATATATATATATACCTTTAAGTTTAATTTATAATTTGCTTTTATATATTTTACTTTTTGTAAAATCTTTTCTAAAAATATAGATATGTATGTATTGATATATATTTCTCTCTCTCTGCGTATGATTTATTGTTTGTTTTTAATAATGTTATTTGAAGATGTTTAATAAAGTTTAAAAAATAAGTAGAGTTGAGCAAAGTGGCGGAATTTCTGTGTAATATTTCGATTATAGCTAATAATGTAGATTTGTTGCTCTCAAGTTTTGTGGCATTTAAGAATTTATTTCAGTACTTAAAGTAGCTGAATAATGTAATGGGGCTTAAAACTCTCTACATTGTTTCTTACTTTTTCTGCAAATATATTGATGTAAGTAGTGATGATGGGTTGTGTATTGCCAGTTTTGACAGGTGATGGGGGCAGACAGTGGTCCGGGAGCTCCTGCAGCCGTCCCATGGCGTAAAGTCCTATATGAACGCCAGCCCTTTCCAGACAATTATGTGGACCGACGCTTTCTGGAGGAGCTGCGGCGCAACATCCGAGTCCGTCAGTACCGTTACTGGGCAGTGGTGCGTGAGACGGGGCTCATCGCACAGCAGGTGTCCTGTGTGGCCGTCTTTCTCACATTATGGTCTTGTATGGAACAGGGAGACCTGGTGCCGTCCACGGTGCTCTGGGTCTGTCTGGGCTGTGCTCTGTTGGGATACGGACTCTATGAGATCCTGGGAGGCGCTTGTGTTCGGGAGCGAACGCGCCTGGCGGACCTGCAGAGCGCAACCATCTTCCTGGCGTTTACTTTCGGGTTTTCACCTGTTTTAAAGACTCTAACCGAGTCGGTTAGTACAGATACTGTTTACGCCATGTCAGCCATGATGCTCCTGGCTCACTTGGTGTCCTTCCCGTATGCTCAGCCCAGTCCGCCGGGCAGTCTTTCCCTCAACGCGGCCCTTTTCGCGTCGGTGTGCCTGGCATCCCGGCTGCCCGGCGCCCTGCATACCTTCACCATGCTGAGCTGTGCCCTCCTGGTGTTCGCTCTCTGGCCCTGCCTGTTGCACCGCATGCGGGAGAAGGCGGAGTGGAGCTTCCCGTGGGCAGCGGTGCTGGTGTGTCTGGCTGGAGTCGGGGGTCTGGGTAGCCTGTGGCCCGAGGGGGCTCTTCTCCTCTCATTGGCTCTGTTAACATTAACTTTACTCTGTCCACTGTTACTGGTTCACCTGCAGAGGCACAAGGACAACATCCACGGTCCTTGGGACGAGGCAGAGATTAGAGAGGACCTGTCCCGCTTCCTGAATTGAACCTGCCTACAGAGTTTTAAGACCATTTTAAATTATGCTTTTGATAGACTCTCTTTGGTGGGATGGTTTTGAGAATCTTTTACACTTTTCCTAAACGGATAGTTCACCTAAAAATGAAAAATCTGCCATCATTTACTCCCCTGAACCTGTGCGTTTTCCTTTCTTCTGTGGAACATGAAAGAAAATGTTTTGAAGAAAATTGGTAACAGTTTTGGTTACCATTGGCTTCCATTGTATGGACAAAAACACTGAGACATTTCTTAAAATATATTATTTTGTGTTCTGCAGAAGAAAGTCATACAGGTTGGAAAAAAACGAGTGTGAGTAAATGATGACAGAATTATTATTATTTTTATTTTTTTTGGTAAGCTATGCCTTTAAGCTCAGGGAAGAATAAGAACGGTTACTGGGAAATTACATTTCATTTTGCCAATATAAAATACAACTAAACTATTAAATGGGTGAACCTCATGAAAACATGTCCAGGTCATGCTTGAAATAAAATGAAGCCCTGAAAATAGATGTAGACTTTTTTTTAGGCAAACAATATAATTTTGATTTTGGGGTATGATCCAGACATGTTTTGTGAAATTCAAATCATTTATATGGGAGTAGGGAGTTCGTTTTAACAGTATTTATATAAATGTGCATATTCTTGAATTGCTTGATTAAAACGTTTAAATGCTTGTCAATGTTTTTAATAATGCTTTTAACATGCTCACTGTACTGGAAATAATTGTTGTTTTTAACTATGATATGCATATACATATTTTATTTTTATTTGAATGGAGGTGATAGAAAAGGGTTGAAACTGTTCTAGACAAGCTGTTGCCCACAAGATGTAAGTCAGTCCCAGGTATTTCTGCAGCAGTAACTGTTGTTCATGTAGAACGACATAGCAGCAGGTCATTTCTGCCAGTGTTCAGTTGATAGAACAAAAGTCTTTGTTGGCTTTTCTGTAGCGTCATTTATAACTGACAGAATAAGAGCTTATATGAACAGTGTGTGACATTGCAATGAAGTTGCCAAATTAAAGTATTCTGTGCAAAATCTATCTGTTGTGTAAAATGAAATTGTGTAAATTCTTATAAATGAAGTTATAATGTTTGGCAAAATAAGATTAATATTGATGTTTGCTTTTTTTTCAGATTTTCTGAAGAAAACGAGAGTGGCGCTGGAAACTCACTACGATGCTTGGTTATTGTGGGTGGTTCCTTTACTAGCTGCATGATTGCAAATGATTACAAATTGCATTCCTAGCACAACCAGTGTGAGAAATTACATGCTGACGGGTTAAACCTGGGATTAGGGGTTGGTTCAGATAACTAACACTAGACATGAGCAATTATAACAGTGATGCTTGCTTTAGTAACCACAGGAAAATGTTGGACTTCTTAAGCACACGGTATTTACAAAATCCCAAAATGCTTTTTATTTAAGCGTGATAAAGAGCTGAATGGAACTCACTCACATTGCAAACATCAACATATGTACAAAACAGGAACAAACCTCAGCACAGTGCTCAATCTCACCACCGAAAGCAGAATCGGTGAGCAAAAAGACTTTTGCTATCTCCAAATCTGTTTTGATAGTTTTCCACTGTGTCTAAGATGTGAATCTTTGCTGTCCTCTTAATGACAATTCAAGCAGATCTTGTCGTTGGTGCTTTTTCTCTCACAGGTGGGCATTTGTGTCTCAGTGTAGCTGTTGAGTGGGCATCGCCGGTGGCTGTCTCCTGCAACACATTACACATAACCTGAGTTGTCAGAACAGACTCCCACAGCTCACAGCTCTGCCAATTCAGCTAATGGACATAACAACAATCTCCCATAAACTGCTCTGCTTCAGATGAATGTTTACAATTGCCTGCGAGTGTGTTTTGTTTTGGGAAAATGAAAGCGAAATGAACACAAATGGCCAGATCAGATCAACAGAACTGAAAAGAACATAAAACTGATTTTTCTTTAGATGGGCTACAAATAAATACCAAACCCTGCTGATCAGCTGTGAGTCAAACACAAAAATTCAAAAAAAAAATTCTTAAGGCAAACCCAGAATTTTAATCTCAAACGTACGTTTTTCTGGTGACACTTTACATTAAGGTTGAATTTGTTAATATTTCTTAATGTATTAGTTATCATGAGCTAACAATTCACAGCATTTATTAATCTAGTCTCAGGGTAGTTTTACATTCCCTACCATTCAAAAGTTTGGGGTCAGAAAGAAATTAATACTATTATTCATCAAGGATGCATTAAATTGATCAAAAGTGACAGAAAATACATTTGTAATGTTACAAAAGATTTCCGTTTCAAATAAATGCTGTTTTCTTGAATCTAAAAAAGTATCACCATTTCCAGAAATAGGAATGAATTGCTCATAAGAATAGTTTCTGAAGGATCTTGTGACACTGAAGACTGGAGTAATGATGCTGAAAATTCAGCTATGCCATCAAATAGAAAAGAGGTATTTTAAATTGTAACATTATTTCACAGTATTACTATATTTGTAATCCAATAAATGCAACCTCGCTGAGCATAAGATACTTCTTTCAAAAAATAAATTAAATTAAAAGAAGAAACAAAAACCCTTACTTATCTTACTAACATTTGACCTGTAGTGTATACAAGTACATTTTAACAATATACAATAGTATATTTACAAATTACATTACCCTAGAGTAGTAAATGTTGTAAAAAGTGTTGTTCAATGAGTTGTGACAACTAGTGCATTAACTAATGTTGAGCTTACCATAAAGTGTTAGTTTTTTTTAAGCATTTCTTTTTTAAGAATATTCTGAACTTTTAATAACAGTAATTACTAGCAGTTCCTAAAACTAAAGTTTGTGATTTCAATAAAAAAAAAATCCTGCCTCAAACACACGTACTTGTTTAAGCTAATGTTCCTGTATCGTGCTGGCCAGGATGCTCAAATGAACAGAGCAAGACTTTGACAGCACCACTGTGACAATGAATCTGCGTCTCTGCATCTTACGCTCGAATAGAAGTACTGTAACATTGAAAAAGTGACACATCACCTTTAATTAGGCCCAAAAGAGCTCATTATTGTGAGCTGACCATGTTGCAATCACAAGCTACGGTGTCGGTACGTCTGTAGTGAGTGCGTGTGTGAGTGTACTGGTTTATATATCCTGGTGGGGACTTAAACCTGACTACACACAGACTCATGGGGACTCGTGTCACGGTGGGGACCTAAATTGAGGTCCCCACGGGTACAAAAGCTTATAAATCGTACAGAATGAAGTTTTTTGAAAATCTAAAAATGCAGAAAGTTTCCTGTGAGGGGTAGGTTTAGGTGTAGGGTTGGTGTAGGGCAACAGAATATACGGTCTGTACAGTAGAAAAAACATTACCCCTATGGAGAGTCCCCACAAAGATAGCAAACCAGACATGTGTGTGTGTGTGAGAGTGAGTGTGTGTGTGTACAGGTTTATATATCCTGGTGGGGACTTAAACCTGACTACACACAGACTCATGGGGACTCGTGTCACGGTGGGGACCTAAATTGTGGTCCCCACGGGTACAAAAGCTTATAAATCA